GTGTGTGTGTGCTGATGGGTCGGCCTTGGAGGAGAACTTCGCATGTGACCCTGAAGGTGCAGGTGTGGGACCGCGCTATCTCCCCTCTGCAGGTGCAAGGCTGAGAGCGGGAGGCAGGAGAGGAGTTAGGCGTCCCCCCCCCCCAATGTATTTACAGCCTTATCTTCTCTCCTTCTTTGCAGATGGTGCTGCTGGCGCGCTGCGAGGGCCACTGCAGCCACACCACCCGCTCAGACCCCCTCATCTCCTTCAGCTCGGTCCTTAAGCAGCCCTTCAAGAGCTTCTGCTCCTGCTGCCGACCTCACACCTCCAAGCTGAAGGCGGTGAGGCTGCGCTGCGCCGGCGGGACTCGCATTACGGCCACCTACAGATACATCCTGGCCTGTAACTGTGAGGAGTGCAGCTGAGGAGGCTTCCTTCCAGGACCCCAACACTCTCAAGCTGCAGCGTTTTTCTTGGCCTCAGACTTTATTTTAAAAACTGTTCAGAGAAATGTGAGGATTTTTGGATGAAGGGTTTGCTGGACGTTAACGTTTCAGAGGAATCAGATCCCCCCCCCCCCTTATGACTGACCTGCAGCCCAGGGACACATGTACAACATACCTTACCTTCTCCATTATACGTGCTTTCAATCATGGTGAACCAAGCAAGGCATATTTCGTCACGTTGCAAAGCCAAACACCACAAACCGCTGATCCCGGGGGCCGGGTTGAGCCCCCGCTCACCCAAGAGACACGCTCCGCTCATTACAGGCCTCAGTAATCCATCACACACACGCCTGCAAACCGCAGCGTGGCGCTTAGCAGGCTCTCTGACGGCTAGATGAACCCTTCACATGCAACTGACAACAAAACAACATGCCTCGTTAAAATGCAGCATGGGAAAGAATGAGGCCCCCACACGAATGGGGGGGTCCGCATGAGCCTAGGTGTGAGTGCCGGATCCAGGCAGGAACATCTGTGCAGCTTCTCACCCAGTCAGTCTGCCCCCCCTCCCTGCAGAACTTCATCTAGCTGTGTAAACAGGGGGGGGGGGGTGACCTTCATGTTCAGAGTGCCTTTTAGAAAAACCTTTTCCACATTTTGTTATTTATTGAGATTTGATTTCATAGACCAACAGAAAGAAGTGAATAAACAGTTCATGCATGGAGGGAGCAGTGGGGGCTTCAGGCTGCCTCCTTCAGCACAGGAAGGTCTGAAAGGGAGGAGCCAGTGATGGCGTCCATGTTCCTCTGACCTCATGGCGATAGGAAGCTCTTAGGGATACGTTTCAGGACCAATAGGGCAGAGGGACAGGTCCTCCCCGCCAACGCCACTGACCTCATAGATCAGGAAAGCTTCCTCTGTGGAGATCAGTCAGGTTAGGAGGAGGCCATATCAGAAGGACTTTGACTAGGCCGTCAGTACCATGGCGACCGGATGTTTAGATAAACATGATGGAGCACAGCAGGAGTCTGCAGGTGAAGGTCAGGCTCAGATCTTCTCATCTGACGACAGGAACCATCATAGTTCAGGTTAGAAACGTGGAAGTAGATCCGCTGCCGATCAGCTGTTCGCTGCAGGTTCTGATTCCTGAAAAGGGTTCAGTGTAAAAACGAGAGGTCTCACTTTGACATAAATGTTTGTGTTTACAGTTTAATTCAGTAATGTTGGTCAGAAAGCCAGAATTATTATTCCTGATAAAATCATTTCATTAAAACTAAAAGAAAAGTAAAACTAAGGCTGAACGTAGCTTTTGTTTCAAAGCTCCTCACTAGATGTAAACTCATCACCGCCCACCTCTGCATCCACCTCCCTCCAACGTCTACAGTCTTTGCTGCATCTGCTGAACAGAACCGTCCACACAGCATGATGGGGCCACCACCATGTGATGCTCTTTGCTCTCCTGACCTTTGAACCCTTCACAGAAGAGCTGCTTTCATCACTGGAGGAAGAGCTGCAGCATCCAGTCAGGTTTCCTCTGGATTCATGGACTGCTGCTGGATTTACTTCACTGGTATCAGAGTAGAGAGAACCGTACCACAGCCTGCTTCCTGTCGTTTCCCCCGAAAATCCCACTGAAATAAACTCAGCATTGAAATATGATTAAATGTGGAAGTGGTATGAAAACCCGTCCATTGCTGCTGCCGGTGCAATGTTGCTCCACACTGCTGGCGGCGTTGTTGCTCCACGTTGCCGGCGGCGTTGTTGCTCCACGTTGCCGGTATTGTTGTTGCTCCACGCTGCCGGTGGCGTTGTTGCTTCATGTTGCCGGTAGCGTTGATGCTCCACGCTGCAGGTGGCGTTGTTGCTCCACGTTGCCGGCGGCGTTGTTGCTCCACCTTGCTGGCGGCGTTGTTGCTCCACGTTGCTGGTAGCGTTGTTGCTGCACGTTGCTACAGTAACTTTGCAGATGTCTGTGATTCCTGTTCGATGACCAACCCTTGAACTCCTGCTAGTTGCCATCCGTCTGTACGTTGCTCCATCAGAGCCTCTGGTCAGTGTTTCCATGTCAGTGTTGAAACTGTGGTTTTTGTATGAATAAAACTCTCAAACCACAACATCTTCAGTGTTGAATTTGCAAATCTCTGCAAACATCATCATCCTCTCCGCCGTTGACCCACTTCTCCATCAGTCAGTCTCATGTCGCACTTCTTTCATTCATAGTGGAATCGTTACCTCGGAGCGCCAGTCAGATAGTGATTCTTTCTAAAGCTCGATGCAGTGAAGCCAAACGGAGAGACACAGAGTAAAAGTTCAACGGGTTTTATTGAAGGGTTTCTGCTCAGCCGGAAACTGGAAGACAAAGGGGAGACAGGCTGTTAGATTCAGGCTCAGTGGGAAATTGGAGTTGTCAATCTTGAAGGA